TTCATTCTTTATAACGGTGAATTCACATTTTATGGGCTTGGTAATTGACTAGGCGGGAAAAAATTGAAAAAAAAAATTTTTAAGCAAAACGATATTAAGTAACATGAGTAAGTTGAAATAATTTTTTTTAAATTTTTGTTATACCTAAAGTGGGTTCTGCTTTCTCATGAAATTTACAGGGTGTCCACATGTCAGTACAGTCAGGGAATCAAAATTTTTGTCAGTAAAGTCAGGGAAACTTCGGGAAAAAAAATTTTTGTCAGAGAAATTAAGAAAATTGACTTTTTTGACTTGTTTTCAAAAATGGCGACTTTTTCGACTTTTCTTCCAAACATTGCAACAAAATACCACAATTTTTAGTAAAATTGCAAAAAAGCAACTTATTTTGATTTTTATAATGCGAAAAATAACTATAAACAAATCTTTCAAAAATTGTTTTTGAATCACTTATTACAAAATTAAATTTTTCAAATGTATCTTCAGGGTTGACACGAAAATTTAATTTTGTTTTTCCTCTGATTTCCATAGAGAATTTTGACATTTTCCCTGACCCTGAAGAATATTCTGATTATTATTTTTCCTTGAAAACTAAGATTTTCAAAAATATCAAATTTTAACCTTTTTTGAAATTCAATAACTTATAAGAATATTATTAAATATTAAAGATTACCCAGTGATAAAATAATTATTGTATATAAAAATATTGTTACTCTAACTTCTTCGAAATTATTTTCATCATTTAAATTCAATTATTATTTTCCAAAAATTTTAACTTCAATTTTTCTTTAAATTAATTATTAGTTGAAAGTACGAAAAATTTATAATTCCAAAGATTTGAATTTAAAACCTTTTCAAAAATCAATTATTTCTAAAAATTCATGCTTTAATGCTTTTATTATTAAAATTATTATACAAAATTTTAACCGAAATTCATTTTAAAATAAATTTTTATTAGAAAATTCTACGAGAATTCAATTATTTAAATACAAAACTAAATAATTTATTGAATAGTTAAATGTTTCTTAAAATTGAATTTTTATGAAGAATTTTTATTAACAACTTTTCAAAATAATTAATTTCTTTTAAGGAATTTAATTTAAATTTTATAGAAATTTATTGAATTAAAGAATTTTATCACAATTTTTGAAAATAATTGAAAACTTTTGAAGAATTTTATTAAAATTTTTAAAAATAATTGAATTCATAAGAAGAATTTAATTAATAATTTATGAAAATAATTGAATTTATGCGAAGAATTTTATTTATTTATGCATAAAACAATTGAAATTTTGACAAGAATTATATTTAAACTTTTGAAAATAATTTACTTCTTGCGAGAAGAATTTCGGAACCTATTTCTAAAAATAACTTAATTTTTGAATAGAAATTTAAAAAAAAATTTTAAATAATTTAATTCCTCCAAAGTATTTTATTACCTTTGAAAAGAATTAAATTCGCGTAATGAATTTTCTTATTGATCAAAATAATTGAATTTTGCAAAAGAATTTTATTAAAATTTCTTAAAATAATTGATTTTTTGGAAAGAATTTTGTTCTTTATCAAAAGAATATTTAATTAAATTCTTTTGCAGAATTTTATTATTTATGAATTGAATTCTAATAAATAAACTAAAGCAACATTTTTTTAAATAATTCAATTCTTTCGAAAAATTTCAGTTAAATTTTAAAGAATAATTGAATTTTTTTAAAAATTCATTTAAAATTGTATTAAAAATATTAAAAAATAATAATTGAAAACTTTTGAAGAATTTTATTAAAATTTTTAAAAATATAAAATAATTAAAAATAATTATCAAATAATTGAAAAACTCTTTTTAACAGTTCATTTTTCGCAGCTAATTTTATTACATTTTTTATGAATAATTTAACTATTAACAAGAATTTTTTTATTTATGTCGAAAATAATTGAATGCTTTTGAAGAACTTTATAAAATTTATTCTAAATAATTGAATTATTAAATTTCTTTCAAATAATAAATTGGATTCTTGCCAAGAATTTTATAGTAATTTTTTAAAATAATTGAATTCTATCGAAAAATTTGATTATATTTATGAAAATAATTAAAAAAATAATTGATTTTTTGGAAAGAATATTGTTGTTTATCAAGATAATTGAATTCTTTTGCAGAATTTTATTATTTATGAAAATAATTGAATTCTTGACAAAAATTTATAGAAATTTCTTGAAATAATTGAATTTTTTCAATAAATTTTATTATTTATGAATATAATTGAATTCTTGACAAGAATTTTATAGAAATTTCTTAAAATAATTGAATTCTTTTGCAGAATTACTTAAAAAATTTTGAAAATAATTGATTTTCTACGACGAATTTGAATTTTTTTATAGAAATATTTGAATGTTTGCAAAGAATTTTATTATTTTATTGAATAATTGAATGTTTCTTAAAATTCAATTCTTTTGTCAAGTTTAAATAAAATTTTTAAGAATAATTGCATTTTTTCGAGGAATTTGTATCAAAAATTTTATTCAATAATTAAATTTTTTAATAAATTTTATGAAAATAGTAAATATTGAAAATTATTGAATTGCGAATAACTATTGAAAATAATTGAAATTTTGCAAAGAATTTAATTAAAATTTTTAAAAATAATTGAATTTTTGGCGAAAGATTATGCTATTTATAAAGATAATTGAATTTTTGACGAGATATTCGTTAAAATTTTTAAAAATAATTGAATTTCTTCGAAGAATTTTATTACTTTTGAAAATAATTTAATTCTTGTGATGAATATTGTTTTTTTATGAAAATAATTGAATTTTGCAAAGATTTTTATTAAAATTCCTAAAAATAATTGAATTTCTGTGAAGAATTTTGTTATTTATCAAGATAATTGCGTTAAAAATTTTGATATAATTGAACAATAGTCAAAAATCAATTGTGGTCAGAAGTAGAAAAAACATTTTTTTTCATTAGTTTTAATAAAGATTCCTGACTTTTCCCTGACCAATTATATTTTCCCTGAATTTTCCTGAATTCCCTGATTTCCGTGACCTTTGGCAACCCTGTATAATTTTAATATTGAAAAATACTTTTAAAAAATATAAATACAAAAAAATAATTCCGTGTTTGTTTTTTTGAATTTGATTAACTTGATGGATTAGAGTCGTAATTTTATGGTATGTGTACAATGAACTTTTCTTTTTTTTTAAAAAAGACACCCCCTTGGAAAAAACCGGCTTTATTCATCATAGACGGAAGTCTAGAGTGAAGTGATAGATACTTTATAAGAGAAGAAACGAGACCAAAGTGGGAATCGAGTTGACTGTATAGCGAGAGACGAATAAGGCTCTCTTCGTTCAATGTTCATGAGAAACTTGTTGGCAATCTTTAGTGAAGGTAAATTCGCAAAAGGAATCCTCTCTGGAGGCAAAAAAGAATCCCCCCCTCGCTCTCCCTTAGTTGAATAAAAGAATGAATCGTAAAAGAGTGTTTTTTTGAATAAATTTCGAATTTTACTCCTTAGGATTTTAAAGAGGGAAATGAGAAGGTTTCTTTTTTAAGAAAACTTGTAAAAGTTTATTATTATCTTTTAAAATAGATTTAAAATTCAATGGAATAGTAAGAATGATAGTAATAATTATTTTCTTTTTGCAGGTGGACCGTGAGGATAATTTAAATACAGTAACAAATCGTAATTCAATTGGACTGTGAGGAGAATTTAAATGCAGGAACAGATCGTAATGCAGTCACAATAGTAAGTGAAAGCTAATTAAAAGCATAAGAAACTAGAGTGAAAAAAGAGTTTCTTTAGTGTCCAAGAGGGGGGGTTCTAAGGTGAAATTCTGAGCCAGGGTTGGGAAAAGGGGAAATTTGGGAAACTGAAATGAGTTTTTCAATTTAAATACAGTAACAAATCGTAATTCAATTGGACTATGAGGACAATTTAAATGCAGGAACAAATCGTAATACAGTCACAGTACTAAGTGATAGCTAATTAAAAGCATAAGAAACTAGAGGAAAAAGAGTTTCTTTAGTGTCCAAGAGGGAGGGGTTTCTAAGGTGAAATTCTGAGCCAGGGTTGGGAAAAGGGGAAATTTGACAATGGTCAAGGGAAATCAAGGGACAAGTGAAAAGAAATTCATTTCAAACTTTTTGGATTTCTAGATTTCTTGGAATTATAAAAAAAGAGTGTAGAAATACAAGAAACTAGAGTAAAAAGAGTTCCTTTAGTGTCACAATTTTAAAAAATGTATCCAAATAGTAGAAAATCTTAAAAAAATGAAGTAAATAGTAGGTTCTAGTAGTTGTAGTAGCCAGGGTTGAAAAATTAAAACATAATAATTAAATAGTAATTAAATTTTGAATTTTCCCCCTAGGAGTTTTAAAAAGAGTTTTTTTTTATTTTTATCATTATTGATATGGAAACCTTTAATGATTAAGTTAATAATTCAATTTTGAATGTTGCCCTTAGAATATTAAAGGGAGACAGTTTATTTTTTATTATTGTTATTAATTAGGGGCCATCCATAAACCACGTAGCCTTTTGAGGGGGAGGGGGGGGGGTCAAGCAATTGACTACGACAAGAGGAAAAAATGGCGCTAATACATGTAATAGCGTACTACATGGAGGGAGGGGGGGGTCAAAATTCCAAAAAAATGGGGCTACGTGGTTTATGGACGGCCCCATTATTATTATTAAAATATTTAATAATTAAATTTCGAATTTTTCGCCTTTAATTTAAAAGATAGATAGTTTTTTAATTTTTATTATTATTCTTACTATTAATTAAACTTAATCTAGATCTTCTCATATTTTTTTCAACATTTTCTTTCTTTATTCTGTATTTCTTGGTTTATTCCTTATTTTTTTCTTTTTTTTTTAAATTTTATTGGGTAATTTTGCTTCATCATTTTCGTAGAGCGTGTTTCGTTCATGAAGCGTGATGAGAGAGTTAGAAAAAGGGTAAAAATGTTATCATCGTTAAAATGAGATTTTTGTAGTGCAAAAACTAACCAGAATGCGAGGATCGCACTGCGAGTAAAATGACCAGGTACAGGATGTTCCCGCGTCGGCAGAGCCTGGCCCACAGCGCCGACATGTCGGCAAATTCTAAAACTGAAACAGAAAAAGACATTTTTAATTTTCGTTATTTTCTTTTTCCAATTAGTGAAAATTATTAATTTAATTAATTGTGATCAAAATTAGAATACTAGATCGTAGGAGTACTCTAAATACGAAAAGGCTTGTTAATATTAGTAAATAAATAATTATCGAACTTAAAAAAATTAACACCCTTTTTTTATTTCTTTTTTCTATTTTAGAAGTTGGACAAGTTCGGAAAATCGGGACGTGGGATCAAAAGAAGGTTATTGTAAAATTTGAACTAGAGAAGAAGAAGATAACTTTTTTTTTCACTCGTGACATGAAGGCGGTTCTTGATCAAGATACAATTTTTCCCAAGAAATCACAGCTAGTAATCATCTTGGACGCTTTACTATAATTCAGAGGTCAAGTGTCACGTAACACTTTGAGAAGAGTCTTCGCGCGCCGCCAGCGATTAGTAACCCGTATCTATACATATATATTGGCCAGTTACTATAACTCTAGAACAACAACAACATCAACTATGGGCAAGAATAAGAGACAGGCTGAGGTAAGTTTCCACCTTGAAAATTTATATCGTGCCATCTCAACGAATTCTAGTTCAATGATTTTTCTTGTCACCCCGTTTTAGTATTCCTCAAGATTTGTTTCTTTTTTCACAAAGACCATTTTTTCTTTTGTTATCTCATTTTTGATCTTATTTTTTATTGTATTTTCTTTTATCTTTTATTTTGCAGAAAGGTATATTTTATAGCATTTGTAACGATTTGTTTCTTCATTCATTCAAATCGGACAGATAATTAATATTCTTTTTTTTTTTGCTCAATGCTACGTATAAAAAAAAGTAAATAATTGAAAAAATAAAAAAAATTAAAAAAAATTTACAGGAATCATTTAAAATAGTTTTAAAGTTAAATAATTATTAAAACTAAATTAAAAAAAAAATAATAATAAAAAAAAAAATTAAAAATTGAATAAATTTTCTGGAATCATTTAAAATAGTTTCAAAGTTAAATAATTATTAAATTAATAATAATAATTAAATAATATTATGAAATAATTATATTAATTAAAGTATTAATTATTTTTAAGGCAGAAAAACTTTTTTTTTGGTCTTAAATTGTAGCTGACCCCCCCCCCACCCCTTTACTTTTATATACATAAATAGTTGAATCAAAGTATTGTGAATTTATTTTCGCAATTATAAGTATAAGAAACTAGAGTGAAAAAAAGTTTCTTTAGTGTCCAAGAGGGGGGTGTTCTAGGGTGAAATTCTGAGCTAGAATTGGGAAAAGGGGAAAAATAGGGAAATTTGACAATGATCAAGAGACAAATGAATAAAAATTCATTTCAAACTTGTCTTTGGATTTGTAGATTCGATTTTTAGAAATTATTATAAAAAAATAGCTGCACTAGCTTCTTACTCGATAATTAATTTTTAAACATTTAAATTTTTTTAAAATTTTAATTGAATTTGAAAAAATCTTAGCAAAATGTAACTTTAAGATTGAAAAAAAGGTAGTTACCGCAAAAATTAATATTGACGATTGAATTTTTTTATGATTTCTGTAAAATAAATTACATTTGAAAATAGAATAATTTTTTTTAAAAAATAATTTTTTTACAAAAATATTTAAATATCTATTTATTTATTGAAATTTCTAAATAAAATTACGCGAAAATTTAAACATTTTCTTTCAAATTAAAAAAATGTTTTACAATTAAACTTTTCAATTCAAAAAATCTTTGGAAATTTAATTATTTCTGAAAATTAACACTATAATGCTTCTAATATTCAATTATTTTCTAAAATTTTAACTAAAATTCAATTTTATATTAATTCTTATTAAAAAGTTCTACGAGGATTCATTTATTTAACCCCTTAACAGTCCATGGCCCATATATGGCCACGAAAAGTCGTGCCACCTTTGCGTCTGTGGCCATATATGGCCATCTCAAAAAAAAAATACTAAACATGATTTGATTTTAGTAGCGAAGTACATACTACTGTTTTTGGGGTCGCTGAATCCGAATCTGAAGTCAGATTTAAAAAATTCAAAATGGCGGACCCAAAATGTTGACTTCGAAAAATAAAAAAATTTCAAATTCGCTTTAAACTCGTTACTTGGGGGGTTTTCGGGGTCTCTGATTACAAATATGATGTCAGATTTTTAAAATTCAAAATGGCGGATCCAATATGGCGGATAATTTCAAGATTGATGCGATTCGATTAAAATTCGTTTCTCGGGGGTTTTTGGGGTCGCTGAATTTGAATTTGATGTTCGTTTTACAAAATTCAAAATGTTGGATCCAATATGGCGGATAATTTCAAAATTTATGCGTTTTGATCGAAATTCCGTTCCCGGGGTTTTTTGGGGTCGCTGAATTCGAATTTGATGTTCGTTTTTCTAAATGCTAAATTTTGGATTCAATATGTCGATCAAATTTTTTGAATGTTGACAAATTTGTCTAAAATGTTTACTCAGGGGTTTTTGAGGTAACTTCATATTTTTTTCGCATCAATCTTGAAATCATCCGCCATATTGGATCCGCCATTTTGAATTTTGAAAATCTGACATCATATTTGTAATTAGAGACCCCGAAAACCCCCGAGTAACGAGTTTTAAGGGAATCTGAAAAAAAATTTTTTTTTGAAGTCGACATTTTGGGTCCGCCATTTTGAATTTTTTAAATCTGACTTCAGATTTGGATTCAGCGACCTCGAAAACCCCCGAGAAATGAATTTCCCTTAAAACGCTTTAATTTTAAAATTATCCACCATATTTGGTCGCCATATTGGATCCGCCATTTTGAATTTTCAAAAATTAACCTCAAATTCGAATTCAGCGACCCCAAAAACCTTATATATGATTAAATCATATTTTTTTGTAAACTTTTTTTTCGGACCGTTTTTGGACCACAAGCGATTTTCAACTAGACTGCGAAGGGGTTAATTACAAAAATTAATAATTTATTGAATAATTGAATGTTTCTTAAAATTGAATTCTTATAACATTTTTTTTTTTAAATAATTGAATTAAGGACAATTTTTTGAATAAAATTGAAATTTTTCAAAAAATATTATTAACATTTTTGAAAATAATTAAAAGTTTGACAAGAATTTTATTAAAATTTTTGAAAATAATTGAATTTTAGAAAAGGATTTTTTAAACTATAAAGATAATTGAAATTTTGACGAAAATTTTCTAAAATGTTTAAACATAATTGAATTTCTGCGAAGCATTTTATTACTTTTGAAAAGAATTGAATTTAATTAAAGATATATTGAAAATAATTATTTAATTGTAATAAATAAACTAAAGTAATTTTTTTTTTAAATAATTGAATTATTTTTAAGAATTTTAATGAAATTTTTAAGAATAATTGAATTATTGACAAGAATTTCTTTTATGTATGTCGAAAATAATTGAATTCTTTTGAAGAATTTAATAAAATTTCTTCTAAATAATTGAATTGTTAAATTTCTTTTAAATAATTGAATTTTTGCTGATAATTTTATAAACATTTTTTCTAAATAATTAAATTCTTTTTGGAGATTTTATTGAAATAGTAAAAATTGAAAATAATTGAATAGTGACGAAAAATTTTATTAAAATTTGTGAAAATAATAAAATTCTTTCGAGACATTTATTTAAATTTTACAAAGCAAAATTATGTTAAAATTTTCAAAAAATAATTGAAATCCTGAGAACTATTTTATTATTTATAAAAATAATTGAATTTTTGCGAAGAACTTTATTAAATTGATTTTGAATAATTGAATTCTTGTGAAGAAAATCTTTTTTTTAAAAATAATTGAATTTTTTTTTTGAAAAGTTTTATGAAAATTATGTTTCAAATAATTGAATTCCTGTGAAAATTTTATTATTTATGAAAATAATTGAATGTTTGTAAAGAATTTTATAAGAATTTCTGAAAATAATTGAATCGTTTTGAAAGAATTTTATAACAATTTTTGGAATCTTTTTTAAGTTTTAAAAATTTTTGAGAAATAATTGAATTCTTTTCAACATAAATTTGACAAAAATTATGTTTCAAGTATAGAAATCAAAGAGATAAGAAATTAAAGAAAAAAATAGAAAGTAGAAAGTAAAGAAAAAGAAGAAAGGTGTAAAGTAAGGAAATAGAGAAGCAGTTTAGAAAGTAAAGAAGTAGAGTAGAAGGTAGAGTGTAAGGTAGAAAGTTAGAAAGAAGTAGAATAGAGGGTAGAAAGTAAAAAGTAAAGAAGTAGAATATAGGGTAGAAAGTAAATAAGAAAAGTAGAAAGAAGAAAAAAATGAAGTAGAATAGAATGTAGAGAGTAGGGTAGAAGGTAAGAAAAGAAAAAGTAGAAAGTAAAGAAGAAAAGTAGAAAATAAAGGGAAAAATAGAATAGAAGGTAGAAAGTAAAGAAGAAAAGTAGAAATTAAAGGAGAAAAGTATAGAAGAAGGTATAAAGTAAAGAAGAAAAGTAGAAAGTAAAGAAAAATGAAGTAAAATAGAAGATAGAAGTAAAAAGTAAAGAAGTAGAATAGAAGTAGAAAGTAAAGAAAAAAGAGAAGAAGAAATAAAGTAGAAAGTAAAGAACTGACGAATAGTAGAGCAATTGAAAGAATAAAAAGAAAGAAGAATAGTGTGAAGTTAATTTTCATTCAGAGCGCGCAGCAGGTGTGTCTCGTTTGTCGCCTTGCTTGGTACATATTAGCATTTGGTGGCAAAGTGTGAAGGGGGAAACAAGAGAGTGGTTATGGTGTCTGCTCATTCACCGAATTCCCTTGTTCAATGGGTCGTATCGTGAATACGCAATGACGTAAGGTCCGCGTGTAGTTTGCACTTTGATGAGATGACATAGCCCGAGAGGGATTGCTGCGAAAGAAAAAGAGGGAGAAACTCATTATGATTGGCCCGACATTGTAATTTACGATCCGTCACATAAAACGGGCCAATCGATGTGTTAACAAGCAAACAATAGTTTTTGGTGTCGCGTGTATATTTTCTCGCGCCGCCGCCGC